TTGGTCTACACCACCTCTTGCTGCCTTCATTATGCTGTACAAATATGGAGAAGTGGGGAGGGGACGATCAGAGAGGATTTCACGGTGATGGGCCACTTGAGCTGAGTTCTGCAGGGTGAGTGGGTGGCTGGGGCAGGAGGAGGGCATTCTTTCCAGTAGAGAGAACAGCAGTTGCGGAGGCCTGGAGGCAGCAGAGTTGGTGAGCATTAACCCATGGGGGGCCCCGCTCCTGTAGGAAGTAGGGCTAGTGGTTTAAGGGTTGTGACTGCAGGAAGATTTTCAATCTTCCGCTCTAGGAGCTGGGCCTCTGCTGAGCCTTTTGCTACCCCTGGGAGACTTTGGGATCCTCCTCCTGCCAGGCCTGTCCTCCTAATCTCCCCTTCTACTCTCAGGGGAGATAAGCTAAGGGCTACAAGGGGGTGGAGGGTGCAGTCTGGCTGGAGGGAGACCCAGTGCCAGATCCAGGAGGGAGGGCTGTTTCTGGCTCTGCTCTCAGATTCTGTTAAAACCAGCTGGAGCAGGGAAAGCAGCCTCATCCTCCTCCTGCTGGCCACCTCCTTCCTTGGGGCCAGGGTCGTGACTAAGACTGTGATTTATTCCCGTCATAATCCAGCGGTTGGTTTGGTGAGAGTTGGAAACATGTTGGTTTTCCCTTCCCAAGTGTAACAAGGCCTGCTTCCGCCTCCGCGGCCGCTGCTGCAATGCCACGCGGTGAACTGTCCGGGACATGACAAAAGGGCTCGGTTAGCTGTCCACTGGTTAGAAGATGAACGGCTCCCAGCTCTGCCTGCCCTCGTGGTCCTCAGTGCCCATGTTCTGGCCTCTCCCCCTAGGACTTTTGCTCTGTAGGCCTCTGGGTACCACCTTGTGCTGATATATATTTCTGGGTCCCAACCTCCTGGAAGTCAGTGTCCTGGCCTGGGGAAGAGGACCAAAGGAGGCTGTATGAACAGGTGGTATTTGGAGACTAATTAATATTTGTGAATAATAACGTGTGCCTAAGGGAAACAAATCAATCTGTGTTTGTATATTCATGAGGAGGGCTTGGGAATGATCCCAGCTGTTCTTCAGCCAGGGAACCCCCCCATCTCTGGCATCATACTCTCCCTTGGGCCCCCACATTGAGGCTGGCAGGATGGTTAGGGTGGCTGCATGGAGGCGACAGGGTTCTGGGTAACACACATTTTCCATGACGTTTGTATGTGAGTCCCGGAGCTTGGTGTAGTGCCTGCTCCTTCCTTTTCTCTCAAAACAGTAATTCCCAGACTCTTAGATTTCACAAGCCAGTACAATTTCCAAAAGTACTTGGGAACCAGACATGGGTTGGCAATTTTTTATTTTGCCAAGTAAGGACATTATAAAAAAACAACTGCTATCTGCTATCACGATCATTTCATACAAGAAAGGACGTTTTAACACCAAGGACAAAATTTGAGAATAAAGGACAGTTCTTCCCAAGAAAGGACAGTTGGCAGCTTTACCCTGACATAGCAAAGATAAAGGATATGTTAAAACCATTTTGAATGTGGAAAAATTACATTCAATTATACCCTACAGTATCATACTGTATGTAATTGTTTTTCTGTCCAAGTATGTCAGTTTGGTAGAACCTGTGGTCCACGGTGCAATTCTGAGATGAGCTTGAATGTCCAACTGTTCAGGCCTTGTTTTTATCTCAGTCATTGAAAGCCCAGACTCACCCAGCCTTTCTGGCAGCATGGATGCTTTGCTCTTAACACTGTTACAATCAATTCAGAAGGTTCTGGCAACCCCAGCCAGGCTAGCCATGGTTCTGCCTCCCTGCTGCTCTCCCACCTTCTCTTCACAGGTGTCTCTGAGCACTCAGGGAGGAGACAGAGTGAGGTAGACCTGAGGTCAGCCCTTCAGATCCATGGCTGCCCTGGCCAGAGAGTGGCCTGAACTGCATGACACTTAGGGCAGGCTTTGTGCACAGAAGACAGCCTGCTCACACCAGGAGCCAGTGAGGGAGTGGCCCTGGCTCAGGCAACTATGTGGTTGTTGTAGTAGTTCGCTGAGAATGTGTCCATGTTTGTGTGTCCCTTTTTTCTCCCTATGTTTCTGGGTGCTCATGTCCCTGTGTCCATGGGCCAGTGGGAAAAACTCTCTAGGGAGGCATGTTGTTTGTTTTCAGCCTCTCCACCTTCATCTGTCCTACTTTCTGGATCTGAACAAAGTTTTCTGAGCACCCAAGAGCCAGATCCACAGGGGAAACCCTGCAATCCCCAAGTAAGGGCCACTTATCTGTGTCACCTTGGGCATGAGAGTGTAAAAGACCTCTATAGAGAAGTATGCTCCAATCAGGGTTCTCTGACACTTGGGGCTGGAATCTCCTCTAAGACTATATACCACATGGATGTCTGGGAGTTTTATCCCCTCAATGGCTATGCTAGAGAATCACACCCTTTTAATACTGGTACCAGAGTCTGACTGCCCCATGATGTCTATAAAAGGGAGTTACACCTCTCTTAGTATCGTGAGGAATTACAACCCTATAACGTCCATATCAGGCAGCTATACCCCCATGATGTTGGTCCTCACTGTCTACACCTGTTGGTTGTTTGCACCAGGGAGGTGCACTGCTGTGATTACTTACCAAGGCAGCTACAGAGGGTTAAGCCTCTATGACAGTCATATTGGGGAGTTAAAACCGCATGATGATGGTGCTGTGTGGTTGTATCCCCACCCACCGAAATGATGACTGTGCTGGGGGTAATGCCCCAATGATGTCTGCATTGGGGAGTTAAAAAAAAAAAAAAAAAAACAGTTGCTGGTGTCATCCGATGTGTTTCAGAGTAGAACTGTGCTCCAGAGGATTTTCAGGTGCTGATTTTTGGGAGTATCACTAGGCCTTTCATCCTAGGCGACTCTGGGTGGACTCAAACCTCCTCCACCTTGGAGTTAGCAGTGAGCACATTACCCAGTTGCACTACGCGGGGACTCCCACTGGGGAGCTGCACACCTGTAACATTTGTACCTGGAATTTAAACCTCTGTGTATTCTACTAGGGAGTTATACCCCATGGTGTCTGAACTAGACCACTCTACTCCTTGCTGTTTGGTACAACACACCACTGAACTATAAACCTATGATACCTGTACCAAGATGGGATGGTTGTATCGGGACCATAAACCCTTAATAGCCTGGGCTGGGTAACTCACTACCTGATGCCTGCTAGCAAGTTGAATTCTGTGGTTGGCTGCACTGCAGCACCACAGTGCCAGGATGACCAAGCCCAGACAGGGCCTTAGTGATATGTGGCCTCCATCCTGATGTGGCCATGCAGGGCATTCAGGTAGCTGGGTCTCGTCTGGTCTTAGTCACCTGAGCTCTTTGATCACTAAGCAGAACCCCAGGTATGATGGTGACTGGGCTGGATGCCCATCACGCCCCTTCACTTTTCTTGTTTTTGCTTCTCAGCTCCTGTCTCAGACTATTGGGAAGGTCCAAGACAGGGGACCTCTCCCACCCCTTTCCCTTTGTGTTCAGCACCATTGCTCCTTTACCTCTGTCCTCCTGGATTCTATCTCACTTGAGACAAGTGTGCAAGTTCCAAGAAGGACCAGAGCTACCTTTGAACCTTGTACCTTCATGTTCACCTGTCCTGTCACCTCCTTGCATATTCTCTTACCATTGTGGGTCCACTGTTCCCTGGGTCTGATCACAACTCTACTGCCTGAGTCTGTGGGTATCACTCAATTATACTCTATAGTATCATATTGTATGTAATTATTTTCCTCCAGGTGCATTCACCATCACTCTCACTCTCCTATAATGCTGTGTTATTCAGAGCATTAATGAGGGACTTAATCACCACCCCCAGCCTGGAGCAAGGTGTGATCAGAGCTGGTGGGTACTAGTCTCCTAAAGCCCCCTGGCTGGGGAACCTGGAGTGAGACTCTCCAGAGCTTACTGCCAAGGTGGAAATGACAGTAGTGTATCAGTACTGGATGGTGTGGCCACGCTGCCACCAGGGGAGGCTTCATACCAGGCAGAGGAACCTCAGAAGCAAAGGTCTGGAGATGGCACAGACATCCTGGGATGCGTGTCTCAGCCCAGATGTCAAGCAAGTGGCTTCTGCAGTTCGGTTTGTGCCCTCCCCTCTCCATCCTTAACCTGCTCAGAGCTTCCATGGCAAGGGCAGATGGGCAGTGAGCATTGAATCTTAAGGCCCAGCACCCCTGTTGCTGGTCACTAGGGCCTTCCTGTGGTTTCCCTTTGGAGTGGGAAGGTGCCATGGGAATTGGGTAGGAAGAGGGTGCTCAGGTGGGGCAGCTGCAGCTTGTTGAGAGCACGCCCTGGCGAGCCTGGGCAGATTGTGGCTTTGGCTTCTAGCCTCTGATACCTGGATCCCTGCTGCTGCTAACAAGTCTGTGCTGTGGGGCCTGTGCTCAGCATGCGGGGTCTGGCCTCCTGCCACCCCACCATCTCCTCCCTCCCTCCCTGCTGAGGAGAGGAGGGGCAGAAGGATGCCCCAGGGGACTGTGGAGTCCCAGCAGGCCTGTGTGGGTACTGCTCCCTGCCTCTGACTGTCTTGTCTTTGTTCTGTCTCACCTGTGTGTCTCTGTCTCTGACCCTGTCCCCCTTCTCCTGCCATCTCCCCTTATGGGGGTTATTTGGAAGCTTAGGGTCTGGGATGGAATCTCTGTATCCCTGGTCTCATTAGGCTCCCACTCCCCTGCAGGATTCTGAGAGTGACCTAAAAGCCTCTTGGACTCTGTCTTCCTATAGTGGGACTGCTGAGTTAACCCTGTGGTCACTGGAGGATCATTGAGGAGCCTGGGTGGTCACAGGGTCAAAAGTTCTGGTGATCATTGCACAGGTCGAGTATATGTGTGGGTATCTGTTGAACTAGGTTCTGGGTATGAGTGGTGGTCTGGGTGGGTCAGTGGGAGCCAGGAGGTGGCATGGGTGGGCAGGAGAGGTATTGGTGGATACCAGCTAACTGGCTCTGCCCTTCTCTCCATCACAGGTCTGATTGTCCTGGGCTGTGACTGGCTGTGGTGCTGGAGCCCTGGATGGCCCCTGAGCCAGCCCCAGGGAGGACGATGGTGCCCCTTGTGCCTGTACTCGTGATGCTTGGTTTGGTGGCAGGTGCCTATGGCGACAGTAAGTCTGACCCCTCAAGGTGTAGTATCTCCCAGGGCAAAAGGTGGTATTCCTCCTAGCTGCAGGATGAGGAACAGGACCTGAATGAGACACAGGGTAGCCAGATACACCTCTGAGACCTTCTTCTGTCCTGTTGTGTTATGTGCTGTTGAGTGGGACCCAACTCATAGTGACCCCTCCTTGGGTTTCCGAGGCAGTCACTACAGAAGTAGATTGTCCCATCTTCCTTCCAAGGAGTGGCTGGTGGATTTGAACCGCCAGCCTTCTGATTAGCAGTCAAATGCCTTAGGCACTATGCTACCAGAGTTCCTTCTGTCCTGTTGTTGTTGTTGTTGTTATGTGCCGTCGAGTCGGCCCCGACTCATAGCGACCCCTCCTTGGGTTTCCGAGGCAGTATCACTACAGAAGTAGGATTGCCCAACCTTCCTTCCGAGGAGTGGCTGGTGGGTTTGAACCGCCAGCCTTCTGGTTAGCAGTCAAGTGCTTTAGCCACTATGCTACCAGAGAGCTGTCCTAGAGAACCTTATTTTGAGAGCCCCTTCCAAGAAGTACCCCAGCCCCACTGCTTCTTGGGAGCATCCTGTGGAATGTGTGGGGCATATCTAAGTGTGACCCTGTTTTATGTGGTTGGGGTGAGACGTGTCCTGGATTCATGTGGTATGTGTGTGTGATGTTCCCAGGTATGTGCTGTGTCCACCACTGCAGATGCGTGTGGATGCACACAGTGTGAGCCATGTCCAGGGGTTGGTGTGGGAATAGGAGGGCAGCACTGGGATCTGTGTGTGGACATGGGAATGGAATACCAGATTTGTCTACAGGTCCAGAGGGAGCTCAGAAGCCAGAACCATCCAGAGCTCAGGATCCAAATATGGGGACACTGAGCCCCTCTTCCACTTTCACCAGGAACCTTCAAGGCAAAGGGGCATCTCCCCTCCTCCTAACCTCTTAGCCTGTTAATTGAGGGAAGATTGCACTTGGCCAGCAGAAAGCTAAGCACCTTCAATGCCCCTGTTGTGTGAGTGTGTGTGTAGGGGGATATTGTCCCCTACCCTAGATCCAACTCTGAACTTTGGTCCCTTTCCTGCCGCCCATCCCCCTGCCTGATACTAGAAGACTGGCCGCAGCCGCCCTGTCGCCATGGTTACCACTGCTTGGTTACTGGTTGGAGGCGGGGCACAGGGCAGATTTAGCCAATCTGCAGTCCGAGGGGGAGGGGCGAGGTCGGAGCCAAGGTCCCTGGGGGAAGGGGCTGTTCCTAGGCTGCCTGGAGCCCAGAGATGGCCAAGGACCAACCCAGAGGTCAGCCTGGAATCAGCAGGCCAAAAGGCTTCCCCCAACCCCTGTCTCCCAGTCTGGGCACAGATCTCTCTCCAGGCTCTGGGTCCTAATTAATTATCTGGGACCAGATCTGGAGGCGAGTGGGACTAGAGCAGCCCCGCCCTTTGTCCTCAGAAGCTGGGCCCTAGGTGGAGCTAGAAGGGAAAGGGGAAAAGGAAGGCATTCCTCCCAAGGGGTAAAGGTAGGGGGTACTGAGGTGTCAGCAGTGAGAAGGCGGGGCAAGTAGAGTAGGGTTGGGGGTCTAGATTGGGGAGGTCAGGTGAGGGGAAAGGGCAAGGGTGCTCCAGGCCTGGTTGGGGCTGGTGGGAGAGGGCTTGAAACTGCAGGGACAAGTGGGGATAGAAGTCCTCAGCAGGTGTGAGTCAGGTCTTGGAGGGAAGGGTGAGGCTCCAGGGCAGGGGGAGGATTGCCCAGCTTGGCTTTAAGAGACTGCATATCAATAATGGTGGTACAACATGATAAATGTAATCAGTGTCCCCAAGCTATAAATTTGGAAGTTATTGGTGAATGTCTTGTGTATGTTTTCACCACAATAAAACTAAAAAAAAAAGAAAGAGAGAGACTACATATCCTGCGGGAATGACCTTATTCCCCCTCTTACCAGATTCAACATGCCCTAACCTGTACCCCCACCCTCTACCCCCTACCCCCAAACCTGCTCCTCTTCCCATGTTCTCTCTCCTGGTCAGAGACGTGGGCCTCCTTTTAGCCTACTCCTCTCATACTCCACATCTAATGCATTACCAAGTTGTGTTGTTTCTACCATGTTTGGGATGCATCCATGTTTCTCTCTCCACCGCCTTCGTTCAAGCCACCCTCAGCTTTTGCATGTACAGGCTCCTGATGGTTTTCCTGCCTCCAGTCACTTCCCTCATAATCCATCCTCCATTTTCAAGTGAGAGTCATGTTTCAGAATGAAAGCCTAATATTGCACTCCTCGGTTGAAAACCCTTCACCCCCTCCACCCTATTGCCATCAGGATCAACTCTAGGGATCTTAGCCCTTCCTCCTCCCATCCCTGCCAGTCCCTTCGTTCACTCTTCTCCTACACCTCCACCTTACTGACTTTTCAGTTGCTGGCATGTTCTCTGGTGTCCAGGCTTTTCTGTTCCTCTGTTTTCTCTGCTTGGCGCATCCTTCCCCAGTCCCTGTACCTGACCAGTTCCTGCTCACCTGGAGCCATCACTTCCTCCAGGAGCCAACTTGATCCCCAGCCTGGGTCACGTGCCACTCCTCTGCACCCCACCCCCAACCCCCTTAAATCGCACGGTTGTAAGTGTCTGTTCGAATCTGTCTGTCCCATTAGATTGTGAGTCCTGGGTGGCTGGGCCATTGTCTAACTCAGGGCCTGGCATGTGGTAGGTGCTTACAACTGTCAATCAGTGGGTGTTTGAGTGAAGGAATGAGACCAGGCCTGTCCTCCAGCAGGGATTGAGGGGCACAGGGAAGAATTTTGGGAGCCAAGTCCAGGAATGTTCTTGTTTGTCCTTTGGGATCAGAGCCCAATGACCAGTGTCTTTAAGATAGCAACCAGGTGAAGAAGCTGAAATCCTGTCTCATCCAATGTGGTGGGGTTCAGGTGAGGTAGGCTTTCCTCTACAGTAGTGAACTGTGGGACAGGGGCCTGGGCTAGGGCCGTGGTGACCTGGCCCTGGGAGGCAGGGTCTGTCCCTCAGGCCTGCCTTAAGCTAAACACACTTTTGAATCTGTCTCCCCACCATGGCCAGACCTGGGCTGAGCTTGGGAGCTTCTAGCCAGGGGCAAGCGGCCAAACGGGTGCAGGGCTGCTGAAGAAGGTAGGGTAGGCGCCCCAGAGAATTGACGACCAGAGCAGTGAAGCGCAGAGCGGCCAAATGTGTTTCTATAGGCCTCTTAACGAGACAAATGAATGGGGGCCCTGGCCTCTGAGGGAGTGGAGGGAAGGGGGGTGGAGAAGCAGCTGCCAAGAGTTAGCCCGTAGGCCTGGCATCAGTGCTGAGTCAGCTCCAATGGAAACCCCAGGCGCACCAGGCTGGATCCCTCTCAGCATAGCTACCCTAGCCCAGGGCCCTGTGGCTTCTCATAAAGGGGAAGCTTTGGGTCAGGTGGTCCTGAGCCAGGAAGGGGTTTGTGATGATCTGATGTGTGTGTCAGATGCTCGGCTGGAAAGAATCCACACCTGTGGCCTTCAGAGCCCACAATGTGGAGGCTCAGGCTGATACAGAGACTATACCACAGAGTGTACTGTCATGGGGGCCATTGTCACAGAGGCCATGACCTAAACATCTTGGGAAGGGGATGGGAGATATTTTGGAAGAAGGGTGGCTAGAAAGGCGAGCAGGCATTTGTTAATGTTGAGGGGGGTATATAATGAAGTAAGCTTGAGAGGAAGAAGCAAGAGTGGGCCTAGGCTTCTCCATGGAGCTCACGGGAGTACCACAATGAGAACCGTCCCCCTCCATTCCCCAGGCAGCATGTTGCAGGGACAGGGATGCATGATGGTGCGAGTGGGGGGCCTGGATGTGGTCTAGTTACTTGAAATCACCAGACTGGAGGAGCCGGTGGGGGCAGCTTCAGAGGTAGGTAGGCCAGGGCCTGAGCAGCTATGTCCCACTCCCCATCCAAGCCTGTGAAGCTAGCCTTGTGGCAGGGAGCTACACACAGGCTCTGCAATGCCCTCCCCCTCGTTCTCATGAACAGGAAGGGCCTGGTGGCCTGTCTAGAACTCTGCCCTCCCTGTGAGACTTCTGTCAGGTTGCTTTCTCTCTCGAGGCCTATTTTCCTATTGCACAATGGTGGTAAGCACACCTACCTGGAAAGGTTAACTGAGGTCATATGGACCAGGCACCTGGCATCTAATATGTACTCCCTCATGGAGGCATGACCTGAGGCTCACTCTTTGTTCCCCAGGAACCCAGGGTTGTCTCTGAGGGGGTGGTGGGGACCCTGCGGGGTCACCTGGAGCAGTCACAGGAGCCAGCCTTAATGAGTCCCCAGCTCATTAGGTGGTTCAGTGCCTGGGAAATCTGCTCTCCAGGAGCTCCCTCCCTGTTCTCTTGGTCCCTCCCTGTCCCTGGCTTCGCTCTTTGCTTCCACGTCTGCGCTTTACTTCCGGGTGCTGTCTGTTGTGTGCATGTGCATGTCCTCCACAGGGAAGGCACAAAATAGCAGTCAGTCTCCCCATGGAGGAGCCTTGGAGGTGGCCCAGTTTGGCTGTCCCCCAGGCTGGAACCCTGTAACCTCACCGGGAGGTGTGGGCCCCCAGGCCAGTTCCACTTGTTTCCTTTCCCACCTCTCCTGGGCTCTGCAGCCTGTATCCTCCTGAGAATATTGAGCAGGGCAGAGTCCCAGGGCGTACCGCTGGGACCTGCTGTCCAAAGGGCTGTGCCACCCATGCCCTCCGCCTAGCGGGAAGGAGAGAAAGAGGATGGAAGAGAAAAGGTGGAGCTACACTCTGGGGCGTCAGACTGGGTGAGGTGCATAGTTTCCGAATGTGCCCAGCCACAGAACTTTTCTGTTGGGAAAGGAGTATGGCAGGAGGTCCCTCCCAGCATGAGCAGACAGCCCCCTATTGGCCTAGATCTGAAAGTTGTGTTCAGACCTTCACCAAACTCAGATGTCAGGCATTGGGCACAGAGGTAAACAGTAGCCCATTTCTGCCAGCCTGCCTGGGGCCTCTCCAA